ACGGATGATGATGATAGCGAAAGAATTTTAAAATGTATTTAGTAATTTCTGAACTTATCCAATGCAAAAATCATGTCTTTCCTCTTGCAAATTTTTGTATAGAAACTAATATTGATCTGTTTTTATTATAATACTTCTTTGGTTTTTTTCTCAGACTCCACTTTCATACATTTTTACTTTCTTAGTGCATATATTTTTTTGTTTTTTTTTTTTTATGGTGGCTTCGTGCCACCGTCTTGTTCCCCTAACACATTTTAAGTAAGGGACCTGGGGAGCGGGTGTATCTTTATTTCTTTATTTTAAGCTATAACATAAATGTTACATTAAAGTCTTATTTCTGTCTATAACAGTTTATATCACTTTATCTAAGCCTAATTTAAAAACACAATACAATTAAATTTAAAATATTTTTTCGGACTCCACTTTTATACATTTTTACTTTCTTAGTGCACATATTTGGACAGTAAGTAACCCCAGGGTAAGTTTTGTAGGTTAAAATGCAATATGACAAATAATCTGTTTTGCGATGGTTTTCTTGACAGCGGAATTGTTTTGGATATTGTAATAATCCATTTGCGTCAATCGTGATATTAATCTGACAAACCTGCAATATCTTTGGCCCCTTATCCGATAGTAATGTATTATTTTGTCAAGGGAAAAGATAATTTACTGTCGTTTTAGTGAAAATATAAATTAATAAATATAGAATTGCTTTAACCGTTTAACTTCATTAAGATCTTTAACAGTGGTAGTGCCCGCTGTAACATCTTAGCACGAATAGGCCGGCACGCCCGGTGTAATACCACGACCACACAGAAGACAGGCGTGAAATGGAAGCAGTTCCGTGTTTCGTCTGATGAGTGTGGTGCCGGAGGCCTAATTTAAGTCCCTTTCTCTTTACCACCCTTTTCTTATAAGGAGAGGATGAGAAGAGGAAGTGGATTTGACGGAGGAGGAGATACATAGGAAGGGGAGATATCCTCTTTATGTGCGTCTCCTCTGTCGGATAAGGGTAGGCAACGCATCTGCAACTGCGGATGTCTATGGGCAGCGGTTGCTTTGCCATTTTGGCGGATTCAGGTGGCCGTTTGCTCGTTTGCCACCTTGTGTTATAAAAAAAAAAAAAAAGGTATATAAATAGTAAATATATTAATCTGTAAAGAAAAATAAACTTACATACGAATTCAGAATCTCCATTTGGAAGTCGGTCGGCCATCTTGTAATTTTAATTAATATTTTTGCAATGAAACAGTATTTTATTCATCAATATTTTTGATCTATTATTAAATTATTATTAGCAGTATTATTTAGCTATAAATAAGTAATAGCTGGGGGTTGTTTCTTAGCATGTGTCGCTTGGCAACAGCGGTGAAAGCGTTGGATAGTTTATTTTAAAAGCGCGGTTCGAGCGGCGCGGCTCGTCGCGGTGGTATACAATCTTTATTTGCATTCGATGCACTTTGTTTAGGGTTGTCATTTCAAAATTAATTAATTTTAAATTATAAGGTTACCTACATTTTTACAGATTCATTAAATTTCAAGAATTTGATGAACTTCTACAATTTGCATTCACCGTTTAAAAAACCGTTTAGAATACATGTTTTTGTAAGTGTTTATTTGAACCTTTCTTCGTTTTCGTTACATTGCGATGTATAAAAAACTTAACAAAACGCTTTTTCTGTCTATATTTGTTGTCTTTAGTAGCAAGAGCGGTAGAAAGTGGGTCGAAATGAGGTCGTGCTCCACTTAAAACCATTCAGATATCAGTCGTATTCATTGAGAGGTCTTAATGAAACTCTGAAACTGTAGAAATGATGTTTCTTTTTTCAATAATGATTTTTTTTCGAGTTTATTTTACTTAAATATAAAATATGTAATTAATGTTTAAAACTTAATCTTTAAATGGAAAATCCAGAAAAAATTATCTAAATCATGTTTTTTTTTATATTAAAGATTTATTCCTAATTTTTGATAAAATATATTTTATCAACCCTGTTGTAAAACTATTCCGGGATGCGGTTGTACCAAAGTGTATCCTTACAGGAGCCCTTTGTCTCCTGCCTGCATTTAGCACGCAGATACAACAAATGAAACGATTTATAGCTTTGCTGGTGCTAAACATAACCTCTCCATTGGTGCTGTCAAAGTGCATTATTGATAGTATGGTTTAAAACAATACTGTAATGCGTGGGACATTAAGATTACGCTGTAAATCTAAAATTATTTAATTTTAATTTAATCCATTATTTACTTTATAACCCTACAAAAAGCATATTGCCAAATCAATGTCTATGCCTATGGGGTCAATAAATTAATGTATGTTTTTAAAACTAAAGAGCGTATACTCTTTGGTGCATTAACGTTAGCTGTAAAAAGAACTGCTTGTAACTGGTGTAAAAAAATTGTCTGTGGTAAGATCCAGACTGAGGGCAGAGGGCGGATGTCGCCGCATGTAATGCAGTCGTTAGCGCGGCTGCAGCGGCGAACGGAAGCACTGATTCAACTGGACGTAGCTAATGCGTGGGATGCACTGTTTCCTACTCTATAAGACGATTATCTTATTGATTACGAATTGCGAATGTCTTCGAATAGAAATGTAACATTTCTTGAGATGCAAGGCTTAATTCTTTTCTATCTCTTCTTAATTTTTTTCTAAGACCAGGGAGGTTTTAATTTCTTTTTCTTGTTGTTTTGTCTCTGTTCTTCCCAATGTCTGTGCGGTAGCATGAAACTCATTTCCCTTCAATACCCTGCAAGTGAAAATTTATGTTCTTATCAAATAGCGTTTCTGAAGAGTGAATGCACCCGGGTACGATGTGGGGTTAGCTGCAGAGGTTGACGGCCGGCTTCGAACCCGCGCCTGCAAATAGCGCATACCGCGCCGCGCCGCCCTGACGCAAATAGTATAGCTAATAGCTATCTCTCGCTGCGAATGCGCTCAAAACATATTGAATTACAGCATCCTGCTGAAGATTAAAGACCTTTTATTAAATTATGTTCACGAAATTACAAGGCACAAATAATTTAATGATATCATTAAGGTTATCTTACCGTGTAGAGTTTAACCTTAAGGGTGAGTTGCACCATATCGCCGGTTACCGTTAAAGTTAAAATTATTTGTAACGATAATATTTGGAATAACCTTAAAATTTACTAAGGGTGAGTTACATTAACTAACTATAAACCTTAACCAGCACATTCCCGATGGTTACGTCTACGGATGTTCATGATATTCGCTATACCAGTTTTGCGCTGATCAAAATGACGTCATATTTGACACTAATCATAACCGCCCGATTTTGGGCGGTTATAGTTAGCGTTACGGTTAGTGTCAGTTCGGTAGTGTCAACTGTCACAAGCTCTTATCTTCAAAAGTACAAATAATGGAAAAAGTAATGGAAAAAGAAAATCTCTACTATTATCCTATACGTAATCCAGAAGAATAAAGTCTTGCGTGCTCGGAAATAATGGATTTCCAAGATGGAACTCGAAATTTGGCCAAACATTCAGTTTGGACAAATTTCGAGTGTCAAAGGTCATAGCAACAGCGCTTGTCCCTTTTCTCTTATTTAAAATAATGTCCTCCATATAAGGACAATTTATAATATGCATTGAGAGGACAATTTATAATATGGAAAATAAAAAAAGATGCATTTATATTTGTATAATTTTATTGCTTCATTTTTGCTACATATTTGAGTATTAAAGTAAATACAGTTTCAATAATGGCCCAAACTAGTCTATTTTCACATTTTCTCCATCTCCGTGGGCAAAAAGTTAATGTCACTATAAAATACTATGCGTATGATACATAAATATATACGGCGAAACATGAATTTCCAAACATTTTAATTTACGTAAATGTCATTCTTGACACCAACTTGACACTTTAGTGACATTCAGGTTTAAATGTTTCCATTGTAAAAACGAAAAACACATAAAACCTCTGTGAGAATATGTTTTTGCACTTGTAACCCTATTAACTATAACTATAACTTTTACGATAACCGGCGATATGATGCAACCCACCCTTAGACATAAACGTTTTTAACTTTTTGGTCCTTTGAGTAGGATAATTTGAGTGATTTTCTAAAATAATATTACTTAAAATTAGTTAAATTTTTTTGTATAGGAATATTTTAACATTTCCGGTGACTTCAATTGTTAATATATGTATAATGTTTGTTTGAAGCTAGTCGCGAGGTTGGTCACTCTACTCTTGGCGGCTGTCCAGAGCTAACGGCTATTCTCACGCCTTCCAATGTCTGATGAGATAACAGCAATATACTTTAGTATCTATGGCGCCTTGTTCAGTTTCACAATATACACACGTAAAATATTACGCAAGTCGAACCAAAATATTTTTGTTTTTTAGCTATCATGTGGAATGGCAACATTTTGGAAAACTTCTAATCTCAACTTTGTTTTACAAGCAATGTGAAATGGAATTTTTTAAAAAATGTCTTCGAATTATAAAAGTAATGACTAAATCAAACCTTGCTCCAATTACTCTGATATTTAAATATCAAACCATAACATGAAAAAATACGGACTGCTTCTGCCCTTGACATCTTGGAAATTCACTATTTTTCTAAGTATAGTTACTCTGTTTATACGACTTTAAAGAATGATTTAATACAATAAAATTATTTGAATTTCTCCTTGGAATATCTCCAAGTATTATTGACAACGTAATCAATTAGTTGATAATACTGTGAACGTTTCAATGCGCAATAATTGACTACTCTCGCCAATTATAATAGCTTGGCACAATGTATATTTTCGTTGGGATAAACAAAATATTTTTACAATTTCACAATCACTATGCGAGAAAACAAAATGGCGTTGGCGCCAAATGAAAGCTAAATAGACTATTTATCGCAGATAACCAATATTTATGGTACGTGATTTTTTTTCTTTTTCTTTTTTATTTTTTATGCCAGTGTGATTACTTTTTTAATTATAAATAAATCGATGTTTAAATGTTGTTTTTTTCGCAGGGAAAACTTCTTCAAACCCAAGGAGAGGTATGAAAGCGAAACGAATACAGAAGTTTTATCCGCTGATGCGATAATACCGAGAAGCCTAGATGCGGTCCATACGCCGTCATTTTTCACCGCAGACCCGCCTTTATTCACTCCACTTAAAACAACGGTATCGGAAACTGCTGTCGATCCAGATCCACCTCATGAAGAATTCAGTGAACCTCAGAGTCCTAATGTGATGGCGGTTTCAGAGGATTCATTTGTTGAAGCTTCACCTTCACCTATAGAGGAACATGAACCAATGGCAGAGATAATTGCAGAATATGTTGCAGAGACACCAGGTGGGGATGAACCTATCAATAATTTGGAAACCAATCAAGAATTTCTCCATGAAGAAATACCTGATGTGCATCAGACTGAGGAAGTTACCGAACACGTTTTTGATATAGATGATTGAGATTCACATTGAGAATTTCTTAAAAAGTTCACTTTATATTCATTTTTTAAATACATTTTATAGATTTGTATTTACCAGAAAAAATCTTATTATACATTTAATTGATCTTCTCTGATTTTCATTTGTTTAATCTTTGTCAATGTAACAGTAAGCATAGACTATTAAAATCGTTTTCGTTATCTGTTACATTCCCAGAGCGCTAAAGGTGCGCTTTATAAGAAGTTACTAAGTTGTGTCTTTTACTTTTGTTAATATTTAATTGGGAGAATTACATCAGTTTTGGGTATTACGTGTGCATTAATTTTCCGATATGAATAACTCTTGACGCACCGCCATAAGCTAGACTTGTAGTGGTGTGCAGTAATTATTTGCACAGTTCATAACATTTTGCATTATTAACACATGCTTGCGATCTTCGTAGACTAGTCTGCATCTCAAATAGTGACACCATGATATCACATTCAGAGAGAATTTCCTAGAGTTAAAGAAATTTATCATTCATTTACAAGATAGATGCCCCTGTCAGAGGAAAGCTGTTGAAACTGACAATTCAGTAATTGCAGAATATATGCAGATTGTGAAATAGTACAGAAATGATAATCGCGTAAAGCCTTAGTAGTAATGTTAATTAAGGTTTTATTTTTATTGTGATAAAGCTATCGCAACATAATAAGTACGTGAAAAAGTAATGGATCCACGTTTTATACAACAATTTGCTTGCAACTTCTCTTTATCCTACCAATAATATGGATATCCTAACTGAATACACTGCCATAGAAACATAATGTGGTTTAATATGGTGATAATTCACTTATGCGTCTTACGTGAGCATTGCTCGGCCTTGAATGCCGTTTGTGTCTTCATGCATTGCGATCGAGGTCGCAGTTGTTTCTTCTCTTTTAATTTAATATCTTGGAGATTAAGTAATTTTAGTATCTCGTTTGTTTACAAAACAAATACTAGAACCTTTTTCTGGTGAAAGTTTATTTGTTAATAGCGTTTTTCAACAAACTGCGTTAACAGTTTTGAAATATTTTATTTTATTTCTTTCTAATCTAAAAAAGAACTATGGATTCAAGCGCTTTTAAAAGCTAGTAATTTAAAGATATTCGATTTAAAAGCATGTGATTATATCGATTGAATGAAGAAATAAAATGAGTCAGAACCTTCACAATTGAGATCCTCTATAATCTGTGGCTATTTTTTATCTCTTCGGAGTGTTAAAGATAGAAAAGCACTCTACAGATAAGGATGACATCAGAAAAACGCAAAGATTTTATTATCGAGCTGAATTTTAGTACAAGGAAAATTTTGTATCCGACAATCCCTTCTGGCCATAAGCATCTGTTCTGCATTTTTTCCTACCTGTAATAGACATTATAAAGTTGTGAATTGTTTTATTAATACAAATTTGTTAGCATAAAATGTAGGCTCAAGTAACGAATTTCCTTTACGTATCAATTATTATTGCTTATCAAGCACTGTTAACTACATCCTAACATTTTATAGCTTGTAAAACCGAACGCGCAATTTAGTACACTGACGTGTTTGTGGAAGGGGCCTTACTAAGAAGTTACTATGTAATATGATGTATGAGATATCAAGGACCTAAAATTACTGGATATCGCAAAATGGGATTAAAAAAAGATTATTGACAAGATACTTATTTAAAAAAAAATCGATATTGTAAATCACACGTACTTCGCTGTAACAGTACAAACGTGGGCTACAATAGCAAGCACATCCCACTCAGAATCTGGATTTAATCGAGTCATATCCTGTACTTAATTAAACCCATTTGAATAGTTCGGATTTTTATTTTCTTATAAACTGCGAATGGATTTTAGACAGCGATGCTATTCAAATTAACCAATTATTATTTTTGGTTACGACTTTATATATTTTAGTTTTTATATCAAAATATCTAGTGCCTACATGGATTGTTGGATTTTTTGCTAATTTTGTGTCACGTAGCATTTAAGAATCCCCTTTTCTGCTAGTTAAAAGTTAAATGTAGTAATATAGTGATTAGATTTCTCTAAGAAACTGTATTTTGATTAATATTGGTGTAATAGATTAACGAAACTGTAAGTATCGACTCCGGAACATTACCTCAAAGATGTCTCATTTAATTCAGAAAGAACGAGAGGGACGTATGTATGTTTCACCAGTGAACAACCACGGTAACGTAAAGTTTTAAGAGTGAGGAAATATAATCTTGAAATTAATTACCAATAGAGGCGATGAATCTCAACTTAGTTTCTTACTCTCATCGACAAGACGGCTTGCTCATCACTCCTAGCTTGTTTAAAAAATTCTCCTTAATTTGACTAACAATTAGTGTTTCGCGTTTTTGAATATTGCCTAAACATTTGTCTAATGCTTTACCCTGTACAAAGGGGCTGGCTTCCGTGTGAAGAGCAAGCCGCGGCGTCGGCCGGTGCCGTGGGGCCCCCTGCAAAGGACGCCCCACCAAAAGAAAAACCAAAAACCTAAAGGATTATTCATCGCACTTCAACATTTGGTTCTGATAGAAGATTCTCGCTAATATTTTGGAAGGTAATTTTGGTTTTACGCATTTCAACGTCCCAACACTTTATGAATGTCGTAATCGATCTAAAAATATATTTTATACAGTGTTCCTTCGTTTCTTCTTTGTAGGGGTTGGTTCCCGTGCATGGATGCGGGCAGCTCAGGGCGCGCCGGGGCCGCCCCGCGTGCAGAACGGGCTGCCCCGCCGCCTACCTTAACCGCCTCGATGGTCCGGAGTGGTGAGCGGCTCAAGGAGCTGCCGCCTTCTGAAATTATATACGAATCGCCAGCTAAGAAATGACTACACAACTTTTTTAAGGTGATTTCTTTTGATATATTTTTAATACTGTTAAAGAAATCGTAAAAGTCCCGTAGAACGTTGACGAAATCGCACACATGTCGCGCGGTTATAGAGAGAAAAAGCCTTTATCCGATGATAGTTCATTATGAATTACAATTATATCGTAGATACATTTACTTATGAAGGTTAGTTTAGAACTGAGACGAAAGCAAAGCGGGAGGTGGAAGTGGTCCGCGGGAAATAAACATCGCCATGCAACATCCATGGACAGAAATACTGCCAAATGTATATTAAAGTCTGAAATGCGTTGGAATTCCGCGTTGCTTTAAAAAGAAAACGTATAGAAACTATGATTTGTTACTTTTTCAATATCTTATAGTAATGACATCTTCTAACAAATATAACTGATGGGCAGACTTTTGAAAGAGTCTTCCAATACTTTGAAAGCATTTATTTTTTCCAAATATTTCTACATTTTCCTTTATTTTTCCTTTTTGTGTTTATTTATTAGTTCCGCTCCTAATTATCGATTGAACAGTGAGAATGTGTAAATAAATACTTTAAAATACAGCTCTTGGGCAAATAAATGGGTGATATAGTAGCGGAAATTGCTTCGATTCGCAACTGGCTAATTTATTTACGACCATCTGCGAACTCTCACAGCTAAAATCGATTTGTTAAAGGTTTACCTACTTTTAACGTTTTAGATTCATTTTTATAATCGATAATGTTTTATCATATAATGTAGGTACTTTGTTGTTTTTTTTCGACGACTTAATGTCATCTGGAAGCCAGTTTTATAATTTATGTCTTATATTTATGTATGGAAACATTAGTATAAATAATTGTATACAATAAAAAATTGTGTACTTTTTAAATTTAAAGTTTCTAATGCCTATACTTTTTTAAGATATCTTTATAATTAAACAATTGACTTCTTTATCTGCGGAATCACATTCCAATAGGATATCTAAGACCAATATAACCATACCACATTGCGTGATTGGTTTATTTCAAAGCCAGCAATGCTGAATCCGGTCGTATTCTATTTTGTCGTGTTGTAATCACTTTTACTATTTGTACTAGGGATTTATTAGCGTCTTAGAATGTTGCTCAAAGGATAGTGAGCTCGGCTCCATTGCTCCTAGATACGGAGCGTGGATTACAAATTATTATAATTAACGTGACGTACGAAAGATGTTCAAAATTTAAAAGGCGCATACCTTTTTGATTCCTACATCAAAAAACTATAAAACACGTATTAGTAGATTATTCTGCTATTTTATATGTCTTACACCAATTTTAGAGAACGTGTGCAAAGAACAAACAATAATCGTCTAAAAGTCTAAGAAGTCAATTTCCTATCAATAAAACATTAAAATTGTCGTCGACATTAAAATTCCTGCCGTCACTGTTTGCCATATTGGTGCAATGGAGACATGCAACCGGGGTCGACGACTGGCCGTGAGTCACGCGCACCGCGCGCCGAGCTCCGCTAGAAGGAAGTGTTGTCGAAGACGTTTTGGCGAGAACATCACTACTGCAAACCTTTATTTTATACTTCTGTTAGTGCGGTACCAATATAGTAACAACACAAAAACATTTATATTACTGTAGGTACCTATGATCTTCAATTATAATCAAGCTCTCAGTCTAACAATCATTACGTCTGTTTATTTGTAAGCGAAATATAAGACGAAGTGTTTAAGATTCGTTTCAGTATCCGGCCGTAAGATAAAAGAATTAAAGGTAAAGATTCGATAGATAGATGTTTGTTAGTTTACTTTTGTTTTTTTTTTAATTCCACGCGGACGGAGTCGCGGGCGGAATCTATTAAATTATAAATTCCAAAGTGGCGCCTTGTTAACTATAATTATACCAATAGATAATCTGTTTGTTTTTTAAATTGTTAGGAAACCGTACAATTGTAATCTTATTGGCAGACGATAAGTTCTACTAGGATTTCATGAGTTGCAGTTAACTAATACCTTTGAACAGATTACATGAAACTGTCAGGTTTCCTAGTATACTTAAGTAGGATTCCTTAGAAGAAAGGCAATATCCTTGATTCCAAAACTGTATACCTTAAATTTATTTATAACTAGCTTCCGCCCGCGACTCCGTCCACGCGGAATTAAAAAAAAAACAAATGCAAGTACCCTATGTA